CTTTTAATTTTTAAGAATATTTAGATCATGCAAATTAAGTATCAAAATATTAGATACCTTAAAAAACCTGAATAATTAGTAAATAAACATTTTCTAACAAAAAGTGCAAAGTAGAAAAAAAAGAAAAATGCACACAGATTTGTCCCTGGCCTTCTTTTCTCTGTAAGTTAAAGGATGCACACTATTGCTGAGAAACACAAGCACTACTCAGCACTCAGATGTGCGTCAGATCTCTAAACAAGATCATATCTGCAGATGAAACTTTGCTTGTAGAAGCATTTTTTAACTGTGAACGAGCAGCTCATGATACACTGCGTTCTGTTCGAGAAGCTGCAGAAGACACCGGCGCAAGTGGAACGTGCTAAACATGCTGACATTAATTTTCAAGTAAATATAACGTGCGATATACTGCGCCACCAAAAATGATTGAGGTCATGTGCATATATTGCGTGATAAGTGTATATATTGATTATTGCGATGGGCCTCGTTCTGCTCTGTGTTTGACCCGCAGGCGTTTTTCTCCGGCAAGCTGAAAGTCAAAGGGAACATCATGCTGAGCCAGAAGCTGGAGGCCGTGCTGAAGGACTACGCCAAGCTCTGAAGATCCACGCCGTCGCTCGAAGCTTCTGAAGGAGAATCATCTCCACTAATGAGAGCACTGCAAAACATCATTCTCTTGCTTAGTGTTTGTGTCTTGTGTTCTAGAATAAATATCTAAACATTCTCGAATCATGATGTGTTTACTGTACAAGTGAAATGATTTAAAATATTAAGTCTTCGTTTCTAAACAAATAATCAAAATTGTGTTAGTTTTTGCTTAAAACAAGCAAAAATATCTGCCAATGGTGCAAGAAAAAAAAATCTTGTTTAGCCTTTGAATTAAGATTATTTTTCTTACTGCATTAGCAGATATTTTTGTTTGTTTTAAGCAAAAACTAACACAAATTTTTTTTTTTTTTCAGAAAACAAGACATCTTAAATCATTTTACTTGTCAAGTAAATGCATCCTGATTCAAGAATTCTTAGATATTTATACTAGTGCTGTCAAACGATTCATCGCATTTTTTGTTTACATAATATATATATGCGTGTACTGTGTATATTTATTATGCATATATAAATACACACACATGCATGTATATATTTAAGAAAAATTGTTAATATATTAAATATATTTAAAAATAATATAAATTATATGAATATACATATATGCATGTAAATATATACACGCATGTGTGTGTATTTATATATGCATAATACATATACACAGTACGCACATATATTATGTAAACAAAAACTTTTATTTTGGATGTGATTAGCACTAATATATACTAGAAAACAAGACAAAAATACTAAGAAAATCATTTTTTTGCAGTGTGTCTGCATTAATCACCTCATCGCTTGATTCTGATTCATTCAGACATTTCTAATAATGTTGATACAAATGCTAATACTGTACTAATGTTTATAATAAAAGATGACATAATCATTAATAAAAACTTAAAAACCCAGCAAAGAACGATGGATGTTGCATTAAGTCATTTATTTTCTCATTACATACAGTCATGTATATTACAGATCTCTTCATACTCGTTATAAAATTAGATTAATTTGCGTATCTTCACATTTGAGAGGTTAAACACTACAGCCGATTCCTTACGTCATTATATCAGCGATAATCTGGGGGAAGAAAAAATGATTTTGTTTTCCAGTGCAAATATATGAAGATTATGAAAACAAGACATTTACTGGAGATGCAAAATGACCTCAGATATTAATTCTTGTTTTGTGAGAAAAAAAAACTGCTCATTTTAATTAATTAATATATTTATTTTTAGATTTTTATTATACCTTTTTAATGGGTTTATGCTTAAAACGGGACAAAATCAACGTAATTCAAAAGTGAAAAAAATATTTTTCTGAGCCCACTGACAGATATTTTGATTAACATTTCAGACTTATTATCTAAAATTTTGCATCTCCAGTAAATGATTCTTGATTTAAGGATGTTCAGATATTTGTGCTGGAAAACAAGAGGAAGAGCATCATTCTCTGCGGTGACGGGTAAAAGAAAAGCGTAAAAAATAAACCCTGAACAACGTTCCTAAAAACAAACGTCTGCAGGAGCCTCGATGATTATAAATATGCTTTATCTTTAACACAGAATCATTTCATCAAGCCTCGTGTTCAACTCCATATTTACACTGAAAATAAAAGTAGCTGTGATCTTCATTCCAGCTAGCGGCTCTGAAATCGAGCGACAGCTGATTGGTTGAGTCACAAATGGAATGATGCTTTGGCTTCACACACAAAGTTCGTATTCAAACACGGGTTCGACTAACACTCATCTAACTGTATCGTCTTGTGAGAGGAATCGTTCAGCCAAAAATCAAACCCTGTGATCATTTACTCTTCCTCAGCCTGAACGAGTGTCTTTCTTCTGCTGAACACTGAAGATGATGTTTTGAAGAGCGAACAGTTGACGGCACCCATTGACTTCTATACTATAGCAAAAAATACGATGGAAGTGAATGGGTACCGTCAACCGTCTGGTCTTTAAAACATCATCTTCTTTAGTGTCCGGCAGAAGAAAGACACTCATACATGTTTGGAGTGAGTGAGTGAGTAAGTGAGAGTGTGTGTGTATGTGTGGGAGTGAGTGAGTGAGTATGCGTGTGTGTGTGTGTGTGTGAGTATATGTGTGTGTGTGTGTGTGTGTGTGTGTGTGTGTGTGTGTGTGTGTGTGAGAGTATATGTGTGTGTGTGTGTGTGTGTGTGTGTGAGCAGAAGAAAGACACTCTTACAAGTTTGGAATGACATGATGGAGAGTAAATGATGACTTTTTATTTTTGGGTGAACTGTCAGCCTACTAAATACTGCTTACTGTAGTAATATACAATACCTTCCCATAGAACGATTATTATAACTACCGCACATCGTTTGACAGACGCAACAGAATGCAGTGGTCTGATGACGGAGACGTCCAGCGCGAGAGATGATGGATATTGAGTAGAAATATAAGGACACTTATCACTATATTGAGTCTAGAGCACGATCACAACACCGCTTAGCAACAGTTTGGCTAGTTAAGGCTTAACTGATGTATATATATAGATATATTTCAGATTAATATGCTGCAGAAATCGTACAGTGTGCTTGAGCGCGTCCGTCCCAGGATCCCTGTGTTTGGGCTGTGAGCGTCTCTCTCGTATTGCTTGTCTTACCGTGTGCAAGAGTCATGAGTGTGCTACATGATAAACCTGACGTCGTTCTTCGTGCCGCTGCAGTAGAGGCTCAGAGCGTCGGGCAGGAGGCGGAGCTTCATTGTGCCATCTGCGCCGCAGGAGAAGACGTGTGAGAGTGAGAGTGTGTGTGTGTGTGAGAGAGTGTGTGTGTGTGTGTGTGTGAGAGTGAGAGTGAGAGTGTGAGTGTGTGTGAGAGAGTGTGTGTGTGTGTGAGAGTGTGAGAGTAATGTTTTTTTCCAACACACTCACATACATAAACGTATTAAACCTTTTTTTTTTAGTATTATAAGAAAAACAATGACTTTTTGTATTATAGTAATAGGCATTTTTAGAGGTGTTGAATTTTTATGAAAAATGCAAAAAAAAATAGTAATGTCCAAAAAAACAGGCTGCATTTAAATACAAACTCTTTTTTAATTTCAGATTAGTGAAAGCATGTTAATCATCTCCTTTCATCCAGCAACTTTTATTCCTAACTAGTTATTCCCAAAGAAACCAACTATGTTGTCATCATTGTTAACTAAGACTGAAACTACTAAAAACTGTTTTCCGTAATTGAAATAAAGCTAAAGTAAAATGATATAGATCAATATTATATGGAAATTTTAAACCTAAAAGTGTTAAATTAGAAATGCTGCCTTGGCAATTAAATGAAATAGTACTAAAATGACTTCGTAATTTTTTACCAAAAAGTTGAAATGCTAAAATTACTAAAACTGACATAAACAGAAAGGCTAAATAAACAAAACACACAAAAAAAAACTATGAAAAGTAAAAAAAAAAAAAAACTAATTCCTAAAACTCAAACTGAAAATATAAAGTTAAAAGCTATTTCAAAATCTGAGTAAGTCCTGTAACAGTATATAAAGACCTTGATGTTGCCCTCGGCCGATCCGCTGATGAAGCAGCTCTCGCTGGCGTCGATGGCCAGCGCTTTGACGGCCGAGTCGTGCGCCTGGAAACTCTGGCGCTGGATCTTCAGACTGAGGTCCAGAACACTGATGCAGCCCTTCCGGCCTCCGCTGAGCAGCAGCTGCTGTTTAGACGCCAGAGCCAGAACCGTGGAGCCGGACTCGTGACAGCTGAAGCCTGCAGCACACGACTAGTTTAGACACGCTTCTACAGGGGTGTGTGAGTATGTGTGTGTGTGTGTGTGTGTGTGAGTGAGTGAGTGAGTGTGTGTGAGTGAGTGTGTGTGTGTGAGTGAGTGAGTGTGTGAGAGTGTGTGTGTCTGTGTGATTGTGTGTGTGTGCGTGTGTGTGAGAGTGTGTGTGTGTGTGTGTGCGCGTTTTTGACAAATGAGGACATAAATTTGTATAATGACAAGGGTATGACATAGGTATTACAAGGAGAAGGTGACTTTTCAGGACATTACCCCATGGGATGTCCCCACTTTTCACAAAAACAAACCTGTGTGAGAGTGAGAGTGTGTGTGTGTGTGTGTGATTGTGTGCGTGTGTGTGATTGTGTGCGTGTGTGTGTGTGTGTGTGTGTGTGTGCGTGTGTGTGTGTGTGTGAGATGACTTACCGTGAACCAGACTGTATGCTGGCGTGACCAGCGTATCCCACAGACACACGTTCCTGTGACGAGAGAATGTGTTAGGATTGTTTTTATAAATTTACATTACATTTAGTCATTTAGCAGACACTTTTATCCAAATTGACTAACACTGTGTCCTAACTACACGTGACGCGACGCAATAAAATTTATCGTTTCCATGTTAATCAGAGGTTTTGTCCTAACTAGCCGCGACACGCGAAATTTCTGTTTTAGATACTGTTTCTATTTCCGCGACGTCGCGGCTGGAACATTATACAAACTATATGACAGTAGATAGTCTCAGGTAATTATGTGCTTTATTCAAAGTTAAGCATGTCTAATGTGAGTTTGAATATTATATTGCGTGGCATTTATAGCCATACTGAAAGCAACAACAGATAGTTTACCTCAGATCTTGAAAATAAATAAAAGCAAGATGTACGATAAAACTCTGAACTCACTGCGAACCGTCGAGTGTATTCCATAACAAAGATGGTATCAGTCACTCAGTATGTGCATTTAATAATGTTAAAAAGGTTTGATATTTATGAATTAGGTTATAAACTTATCCATTTCGTTGTGAGTGCAGAGCGCTTCCAGAGAGGCTCCGCCCACACACGCTTCTGATTGGCTGTGATATTTGATTGATTCTGTCGCGTCGCGTCCGGTGTGGACACACAAATTGCTTGTCGCTGGAATCTTGTTGTGTCGCGTGTAATTAAGACACGGTGTTACAAATGAGGACAATAGAAGCAATCAAAACCAACAAAAGAGCAATGACATGCTAGTGCTATGACAAGCCTCGGTTAGCTTAACACAGCACACATAGCAAGGTTTTTTTTTTTAATATAATAAAAAAAGAAAACAAGTAGATAGAATAGAAAAAGAATAGACAAGGCTAATGTTAGAGGACTTTTTTTTTAAAGAAAACAAGCAGTTAGAAAACAAATAGAGAGTGCTTGTGTTAGAGCGTCAAGTCAACAAATAAATAAAATAGAATTAGAATAGAGAGTGCTAGAGTTAGAGGGTCAAATAAAGATGGAAGAGATGTGTTTTTAGCTGATTCTTGAAGATGGCTAGGACTCAGCTGCTGGGATTGATTTGGGCAGGTCATTCCACCAGGAGGGAACAGTTAATGAAAAGGTCTGTGAAAGTGATTTTGTGCCTCTTTGGGATGGCACAATAAAGCGACGTTCACTTGCAGAACGCAAACTTCTAGAGGGCACATAAGTCTGAAGTAATGAATTTAATGAATCTGCATTGGTTTCTATGC